TAGTGTGGCGTCTGACACCGCCTGCTAGTTGTGCGAGCAGACGCGCAGCAGCTTCCGGCATCGTCTCCTATTCCACCTCCGCTTAATCATTTATCATTGTCTGCAACTCCTGTAAAATTCAGCCATGAAAGCAATGTGTCTGCATTTGCCATTGCCTGTATCTGTCTGCTATTCTGCGTCCGTCTAAAACTAGGCTTGTTTGATTTACCTGCATCTCCTGGGCGGTGTACTTCTGGTCATATCTCAATACATATACCGGAAGTACACTGCCATATGCTTGTCTGCACTGATGTAGGAGGTGCAGGTAAATCGAGCGAGCCTAGTGTCTGCAAGGCTCGCAAGACTCGACCACGAAAGCGGCCTCCTAGCATTGCATCATGCACGACCCACGGTCCAATACAAGCGTCTGTCAGCATCTGTCTACACACGGTAAAAAGCAACCGAAAAGACCAAGAAAAATCAACAAAAATAAATATGCAGTCTTTTTAGCTTTTCTGTTGTTTTCTTGCGTAGCATCCGCGAGCAAGGTAGGTGAGTGTTATAATGCACAATTTTAACGCAACCTAAAAATTTTGGCTCTAGCAAGCCAGGTGCACTGCTCAAAAGTTGAGAGCCTTCTGAAGCAAAATGACGGAAACATACCTGGACAAACCTCATGCGAGGCGAACGCTCGATTGTTTCCAGTGAAATGGCTCGCAAATTCTTACCTGTGTAGGTCACCTCTGAGTACTGAAACGATGGTCACAAGCACGACGGATGCACAATTCTTAGAGTAGAAGGGCCGCGTTTACAGGAACTAGCACGTTTATTTGACATTAAAACGTGCAAACTAACAAATCGAGCCACATCTAGAAAAATAGTTTAATGTGGGATGCTAGGTTTATGCCAGTCCCGCTACGAAAACAAGCTTTCACACAGCTCTTCCGAAGGCGTGTACTTGCGACAGTTTGCTGCAAACTACGTCGGTGGAGATCTTCCTCTGAACATCTCGGTGAACACAAAACAACTTGCACTCATAAAAGTAGACCAACTTAACAAGTTACGCGGTGTATAAGGCCACTCGCCGGAAACGCCGGCAGCCATGTTGATTATCGTTTGAAACCGAAGCAAAGAAGACAATCTTGTGATATTCTTGAAAACAATAATGACTATCTAGGTATATTGGTTGTTTCTCAAACATAAAAATATCTCGAATCAAAGACTACCACGGTAGAGAGAAACAATTTTACAACAAACATTCCACATTTCAATCATCTCTTTGACCAATAAGAACTAAGAAATGAAGCTTAGCCAGCTAAGCACCTTTTGTAATGGGCGGGGTCTAGAGCAGGGCTTGCTCCACCTAAATTCTATCTAACAGCATAAAGATTGCACTAATTCTTTTTTCGTCTATCTTTTTTTTGTATTGTCTTATATACTATGTTCTTAAATAAATTTTTTGTTTTGTCTTGTTTTGTTTCAGTGTTTAATTTTTTAGCCGTTTGCAGTTTCGCTGAATTTCTGACCCCCAACTGTTAATTGTCTTCAAAATCAAATTTGTTGTCTTCAAAATAAAATTTTAGTCAAAAATAGAATGGGAGCAATATTTAAAAAAAAAAAAGTTAGTCCTGCCGTTTTTTGCGGGAGGCAAAAACTAAGCCACAAGCCAGCCTGGATCGTCCAAAACGATTGACTGGGTGAGTGGGCGAAAGCAGACGAGCTACACTCGTCCAGCACAATTTAAGGACGGCTTCGTATTTACGAGCTGGGCTCGTCCAAAACGGCTAAAAGGTTAATATAGTTTCAGGGGTTTTGCAAGAACCAGACTTAGGGCCTTTATTATTTTTAATTTATATCAACGACCTATTGTCGCCTCATCTATCTGTTCGCTGATGATTGTGTCATTTATTATTTACCGTGGCACTCTAGATCATGATGACGCCAACATAGTACTCCCATCTGACATTAATTCTATCTCTCAGTGGTGCAACTCATGGTCTGTGAAGCCTAACATTAACAAATGCAAGGCTTTACGTGGTCTTGCCAGTCTCATATCTGTTCTAACTACTTCCTTAACAGTGCTAATATAGAACCACTTTTTTCATAAAAATATATAGGTGTGCATATAGCTTTTGACCCTTGTGGAAAACATATATTCAGCATATTTTCAACTAATGCTATTCACATGTTAGGTTATATCAAGCAAAATTTTTCATTAACCCCATTTTCACTGAAGTTTGTTCTTTACAAAGCTTTAATTCACTCGAAGTTAGAATATGCAGCATCTGTCTGATATTGCAGTCAAGCCACTCTTATATGCATTGGAAGCCATTAAGGAAAGATCCGCTTGTTTTATTCTCACAAACTACCACCACACTGCTAACGTCATCTCTATGCAGACTACACTATCAGTGCCACCTTTATCTCTTTGTTGAAAAATGTCTCGTCTTCCTATATTTTGTAACATTTATCATCATATCTCCCTCCTAAGTGACAAATTAATCACCCAGCCTGTTTACATTTTCTCTCGTCTAGATCATCAACATAAGGTGGGCATATCAAATTCTATTTGGTCCCGCACACAAGCGCTTGCGCGCTTAAGTGGGCCATCGATTTCACTGTACAAAAGACTGTGCAATAAAGGATTTATTATTATTATTATTATTATCACGACAATGTTCCCTTCATCTTTTGTCCCTCATGCATCCCAGGAATGGAAACCTTCCTGGTTCGATCACCCTTATAACAGACTCTAACCTCTTTAAAAGTGCCATTACTAACCGTTTTGTTATGCCTGTCTATTATGTATTTTGTTTACTGCTTTAACCTTCTTGTTTCTCTCCTCTTCTGTAATGCCTGTGGAGCCTTAGGCTACAATAAATGAAATGAAATTAAATGAATTGAAAAAGCTAACTTATCTCACCATCATTAGAAGTGCCATTTACTCTAGTTTCAGCCTGCAGAAGCTTCCTTAGTACAAAAGTATCAATGGTCAGAAAACTCCATACATCCAAACAGAAAACATTTTTGAAAATTTGGTATGAGCAGTTTTATTGGTTGAGACCTGAGGCAGGGCTTACGTTTGGTCCTGCCCGGTGACACAATATTGTGTTGCTTTCCGCAGGGTTCTTTTGACACAGTCTCCCACTTGAGATCATATTGCTACTTTGCTGCTCTTTAGTATCGTTTACCTTTTAGTTCTCGGCAGTTTATCCGTTGAGGAACGCTCACTGCCACAGTTAGCTCTGCCACAAGGGTTGGAAGCTGGTAGCTATAGCCAGGGGAGCAACCAAGTCTCAAAGAGAAAGGGGGTACCTATGCTCATTGTGGATTTTGTGTATCTTGGGCTCAGAAAACACAAACTTCAAATGCATTTTTCTCAGTCTCATTTTTTAGGGGGGAATTTCGTACAAGGAAATGTATCATTTGACATTGTGAAAGCTTGAAGACTTTATTTGGGAATATCCTGGAGTGAAGTGTTCCGAGGAGCAAGTTAGGATACTCATAATATGATAGAACCTGCTCTTTCCTGATGAACAGTTACCGCAGAATACCGCGCATCCGCCAACTCCATGCTAAGTGCCCATTCCCAAATTTGTTAGATCTGAGTGAATACATGCGGTACATTTATATGTAGAATTGACGACCGGGCAAGCACCCATCCCCCATTTTTTTGCGATTATCTCCGAATATTGAGTGGGCGTATTTTACAGTAATATTTCGAAACACAAAACATTTCCCTATAGGTCCTGTTGTTTTTGGATGTTATTGTTTTTCCCTAGAATTGCATTTTCTGTAATTAATTTTTACCTTAGCTCTCATTATGAACTTCTCATTAAAACTCAAATTTTGCAGGGTGCAATTATTTTCCTTTGATAGATTTCCTAGTGAACTCACTTTTCCTAGAGCTTGAGGAGCATGGGATGTAACAGAATTGACCTATAGGGCTGAAACTTTGTATGTCATCATTTCTAATGGGGTTCAATTCACTTTGAGATTTATGAGCAATTTGAGCAAAGAATTTGAAAGTTGACCCTCCCAGGCTGTATGCCCTCTTAAAATGATGGTGCCAGCATCGGCTGCACCTGCCGAACTAGGGTTCCTTCATGACACCGCCATAACCGGAGACACCGCCGTGGGCACCTTATTAGATCAGGGCTCTGCGCCCCAACTACATCCACACACCGCAAACCAGCAGAACCCAGTATGGCCCGCGCTGCATCCATCACTCTCCTCCCTGGAAGTGGCACTGTCGTCGAGGCAGCCTATGCTCAACTAGAGCCCCTTGATGCATTCATGTTTGCCTCACGTGGAGCATCATATGCGCGAGTGCCCGAGGCAGGTGCCCCTTGCCGCCTTTTAAAGAAAGTGGCGATGTGGCACTTGCTTGTGGCATGTGTCCCGTGCATTTGCCCAAGTCAATGGCACTTTCCTCGCTCGATTTCCTACCTTGGGAACATTACCAAAAGGTAAATCACATTTATAAAAGTTGTGAAAGTAAGTTTTTTTAGCAAAAGTCTCAACCACATTGGTACTTTCGATACTTGTAGTAGAAAGGTGCCATATCAGCTAAGGCAAGCTCCACTCCCCGTGATGCCATTTCATTGGTGTGACACCTGGCATAATTTATGCGAAATCTTGAAAATTCAATAATTATTTAAGATGTGAGACTCGAAGGGTGAGAATAGCAGGGAGGAGCTATAGTTGCCCCGCCTCCTACCTCGGACAACACGTGAATGTCTCGCGCACCTCGAGCACATGGCAAAACCATGGTGGAAGGCACAAAGTGGCGTGCAGGGGCCGGCCGTTCCAAAGATGCGCCCTGTTTTTCTCACTCTGCCAGCGTTGGCAGGGTGCTGCACTCAATATTTTGGGAGCAGCAATCATTGTTTGAGCGAGCCAGTTCCCCCTTTGCCCATCAACCAAAAAAAATCATACTCATTTGAGCGGTGTCGTCTGCCACTCGCGCCAGGGGGCAAGGGCAAGAAGCGCCAGACCATCACCTGCCTGGTGTGCGGTACCATCAAGCGGTTCCCGACCAAGCGCGGGTACCAGCTGTGGTACGACAGCATCGAGGCACGGGAGAAAGCGTCTGCAGCCAAGGTTCAACAGCCGCCCGGCGACAAGGCTTAGGTGAGTGGGGAGGAGCGTAGGGAGAGGCTCCAGTCGACGTTGGCCCTGGAGCCATTGAATAATCTTCGCTTTACGGACACTTCAGACATCTTGTTGCTTAGTACTTGGAGTGCCGGGTTTTCTTTTTTCCGCGTGCCAAACGCAAATTTTGGTCTCTGTTGCACCGTGGCATACTCTGTGAAGAATGGTTATTTACAAGAGACTAGCTATATTATGAGCAAAAATCGGATTCATGTCTGCATGCATCCAACCTATGACATTGTTTAGCCTGACTTGTTTTTGGGCTCGTTGGTTCATGGTACTGAGTAAACTTGTATGCGCAAGCAGAGAGGACAAACACGAAGGAGTGGCTTCCCCTTGTCCACCCCTTCGTGTTTGTCCTCTTTGTATGGGCATACTAGTTCTCTCAGAATCTATGACATGTTTCTCGTATTCTATGACATGTTTCTCGTACTTTTTGAGAAAAAGTAGTGGCACCTTGACCTCGCCGCTCGTGTCCCAAGGTCACTTTTTGAGTGGCCTTACTTGGCCTTTGTTTATTGGGAACAGTAACTTGCTTGTTTTCACATTCGTCAAATACCAACTTAATAAGTAATTTCTAGATCTCGGCGCTCGCCGTGAAGCACAAGGTTGTGCAACATAGACTGTAACAATGAAGGAATGTATCAAAACGGAAGTCACTTAAAAAATGACGTATTATGTGTCATCAAAAGGTGATACCGCAAGATGAAACATTGTTTTTGTCGCCAGCTCATACATGCCGCTACGCGTAAAAGAAAAAAAGAATTAAGATTGTTGCTGTCAGTGATTTGAAGCTCTATCTGAAATTGCAAAAAAACTCTTCCCTGTAGAAGTGTTCAAAAAAGTCAGTGACGTAGTAAGACAACATCGCTTGAGCTCTCTGAGACCGTATGTAAGGCTGGGGAAGTCACATTAGGGAGCTTTGGAATAACATACACAATTTTAGCACACGCTAGCACTAAATTTAGCACTTGCGTTAGCGCACGCTACGCGACAGAGTTTTAGAATAGCTTTTCTTTGTGCACAGCAAAAACTCGAGCATCTCGGGCTTGCAATGCCACCAAGATACAGTAACAATTTTTATTTCATGCACAAAACGCTGTAACTTGAGAAAAACAAGTTTTTTGGTACAGAGTAGCGTTTTAGACTTGTTTAAATGTGAGAATGCGACCTTGCTGGGTCTTCCAAACTGTTTGTGACATGCACATTCCGTAGGGGTGCAATGTCGTCCTGTATCGAAAATTGCAGTCGCTAGAATGTCGCCAACGTCGCCCTCACAACGACCTTCAAAGCGGCCGTAGCCATGGTCCTGGGAGTCGCCATTTTTTAATTCTGCTCACCTTAGCTTTCGCCAACTTCTCATGCTCACGAATCCACCTTGGAGGAGTGCAAGGACACTTTGCATATGTGCGCAATTTCTGAAAAACGTTGTGCGCTACAATAGCGCGCGCCAACCGCTAAATGCAGTCAGCGTTTGGTGCATGTGCAGTGGCAACGGCGCTATTCTTTGCATACGCTATTCTAAAACTCCCTATTGTTTCATCGTAACTGCCGTCAATTGCACCCGCTCTAAACTCAATCAAAATTGCGGTGCCACAAGAAAATCGGGGAATGGAGCATCCCTACTTTGAAATGTGGCTTAATTAGTGGCTCTTGGGACGATTTCGAGCTTATTGCAATTTTATCTATAAATACTCTTATCCCTGCTCGGGATTTTACCAGAGTTGGTTACAGTAGTGGGATATAACAGGCTGGCAAAAATATTTTTAATAGAGTGTAGAAGGACAGAACAAAAAAATCATCTTAGCAAAAAACGTTTAAGGTGAGATTTGAATGACAACAGTGATGATTGTGGAACTTTTCAATTTGCAATGTTATTAGAGTTACTGTTCTTGGGAGAAAAATAAAAGATCTTTACGATTCTCTGTATTGCCGAATTAGAGTGCAGCTCTTGTGGAGGAGGAAGGGAGGGTATGCCTTTCCTCCCCCTCCTTATCCTCCCCTCCTTCTCCCCTGCTCCCTTCCCATTTAGCAGGAAATTTCCTCTAAAACTTTCGCTAAATTAGGTGAAAATTTCCTCGCTAAATATAGCAAAGAATATTCCCGCTAAATTTAGCGGGAAATTCACTAACATTTTCCCGCTAAATTTAGTGGGAATCTTAGCCAAAATTTCTCTGCTAAATATAGCAGGGAACTTTTTCCGCTAAATTTAGTGAGGAAATTTTACCCTCGTGACGTTACGTGTGACATTATTATGGGAGATGTCCCATAATGCAACGCGCGGTTACGCCGATGCTGACGCCGACGCCACCGAACCCGTAAACAGGCGCCTAAGTGCTGCGCTCTAAAAATGCTGCTTACAACAGTTAGTAGAGGAAATGCTCGAACAAAAAGGAGATATTGTTAGCTCATGCCTCTTGCTTGTGACATATCCTGAAAAAAAAAAAAAAAAAAGTAATTCAAAGTGGTCTACTTCATCATGGCCATTAAACATTTTTGGCAATTGCAAGAACCACCAATCATGTTGAAGTGAACTCCGAACAGGCCCTCTAGGCGTTAAAGGGGCCCTGCAAGGACTTTTAGAGCACAGCTCTTAGGCGCCTGTTTCCGGCTTGGGCGGCTTCGCCGTCGGCATAACCAAGGTCACCCCAAGGTCACGTGACCCCTCCCAAGGTCACGTGACCCCTCCCAAGGTCACCTCAAGGTAACGCGACCCCCAAGGTGATTCCCACGTGGCTCCCCTCCCCAAGGTCACGTGACCCCCCCCCCGAGGTCACGCCCCCCGAGGTCAGGTGACACCCCCGGAGCATATTAAAGAATGAGGGGAGGAGGAGGAGAAGGAGGAGGAGGGGTCTACCCTCCCCTCAGTACCCTTCCCTCCTCCTCCTCAAGAGCTGCGCTCCAATTCGGCGTTACAGGGCTTTCACTTTTTTACTGGTTTTTAATTTGCACCGAACCTGAGCACACTGAACATTGTAACTTACTGAAACTTTTTTTTCTCGAAATTTGCTTTATTTTAAAAGTTATAGGCAAATTAAAATTACAAAAACAAGCAAAAAATAATCTCCCTCATGATCCTGGTTGCTGGAGTGGCCGTGAACTAGAGGAGGGGTAGTGAGCTTCGAGCGCTCACGGCTGCCGCACTCCGTGTCGACAAAGCGAGAGGGCGCCACTAAAGCATGTTCTGGATAGGCTGTATGCAGCGAGTGGACAGAGCGGCTCTCATTGCATTTGCTGCGCGATTAAACACTAATTCGGCATGACACTTCATTGGCCTCAAACTACAGCAAACACGGGGTAAAGATCAGTTCAGAATGGAAGCCACTTCGCGCTGCCATACCGCGAAACGGCCAAACCACAAGACAAAGCTTCTCTCCGAAGGCCTTTGGAACGCTCGGAGCCGGTTGGATGCTCCTGTCCATGCGACCGCAGCGCCGCCGCGTACATCCGGGACATTTTCGATGTTGGCACCAGGTCCCACTACTCCTTTCTAGTATGCGCTGCCTTTTCCACCGTTTGGTGGCGGGTATGTTGACGAGTCATTTCTTGTTTTCCGAACTTTATAAACTGCATTCGTTTCTTTTTTGATCTAAAATACTGAACAAAAAGAAAACTACACCCGCGAGCTGTCAGCCGGGGACATTGACTTCAGGGTTCGGCCAGCGTTAGTTGACCTCAATCAAGCTACGTCTACTTCTTGTCCGAATTACATGAAATGGTGTGCGTATCGGCAATGGCTAGGCCTAGCCGCAAACGGGCAGTATCGTGCAAAGCATTAGAGTAATATCGAGCCAGCGAGAAACAAAATCATTTGCAAAATGGAAACAATCTTTTTTATTTCATTCCACTTTTGGTTCACCATCCGTGTCCACGTACTGGCGGATTGGGAACACAGCTGTTGGTCTTCTCCTCTTCGGAAACACTGGCAGATCAGAATCAAACTGCGAGTTCTCTGAAGTTTCCTTATGGAAGTCTGCCAGCGGTACTTATTCACGAGTTGATTGAGCACCGCTTAGCTAGCTTAATTATAGTCAGCACGACTGTGCCAGAAGCCCCCGGCTTGCTGCCTGGATGCTAGCGCCTATACCACATCTGACATCACGGCCCTGGCTGTTCAAAGCAGCGGACGTGTTGACTTGCAACAGGGATTCGGTTTCGATCTGAAATCGACTTCAGAATAAAATATTCTTTAATGACACTTGAACGAAATTAACTTGTGTTCCTGGTAAAGCTTGTGAGTGCCTTTCAGAAAATTTATCTCGTAAATGTTCACCTTCTCTTTTAATCCTTTGACGGTCGAAATATTTTCCCAAAAGACGTTTTCCGGTGGTTGGGTTTTGTTTCCCAAGGAATATTATGAATAAACAATCAATGTGCAGCTTTTTTTCTTAATTATGCAGCGGGAGCACTAACAGTGCTTGCAAGCTGTTCAATTTTAGAAGCATCAAATGGAAACATTGAAGGCAAAAAATTGTCACCTTTGTTCTACTCCGTTTCATTTTGGTGCGTACACCTCCGCGACATTCCAGCGGCTTCACATTTCGAACCAAAGGTACTTCGCAGAGCTTTTCCATTGAATGGTTGGCTCTCATTCTCTGAATTCAATTCTGCGAAGAGTTAAAAGTCTGAATCGGGAGAGACGGCGCTCCAATTGCGACTACCGCCAGAGCAGCCGACATGTGAAGCAAACATCTCATGCGTTTCACATGTGGGGAGCTCCTAATTTTAAAATATAAGTAGTCCAGCAAAGTTAAATACGATGCAAATATGACATTTTTAATTCACCAGAGACATAACGAAAATACCATCTCCTGCGGGGCACGCAGTTTTATGTCTAGACGGGCATTTTCAAATATGTCCAAGGACCGTCAAAGGGTTGAAGACCTTGGTGAACAGAACAACCAAGTTAAAGAGGCACTCAAGTGGATTCTGAGAGTGTGTACTGATGGTGATAACTCAATCTGCGGGCTCTAAGCATC